TGGCGATTGGCTTCTTTCACTTGGCATCATGTTTTCAACCTTCATCTGTGTCGTAGGATGACCTCTTGTTATCTCTTGCCACTGCCCTTTTATCTTGTCAGCTTATGCTATCTCTAGTTGCAACTCTCCCACTTCTGACTTCACCACTGCCTATTTCTGTTAACCAGTTCCAGATTCTTTTTTTTTTTTTTTTTAAAGATTGTATTTTATTTATTGGAGAGAGAGAGAGAGCACAAGAGGGGTTAGGGGCAGAGGGAGAAGCAGACTCCCCACCAAGCAGGGAGCCCGATGCGGGACTCAGTCCCGGGACTCTGGTATTATGACCTGAGCCGAAGGCAATCGCTTAACCAACTGAACCACCCAGGTGCCCCAGTTCCAGATTCTTTAGAGCAATGTAATGTGCCGTAGAACTTTCTGTGGTGATAAAATACCTCTGCTGTCCTGTGCAGTAGCCACATGTGGCCAGTGGCTATTGGCTTGCTCAGTGTAGTGGTAAGGAACTTGATTGGCCAGGCCTATCTTTCTGTTTTAGGCATAGGTCTTAGATTTCTGGCTAGCCAGTAGATCAGTTTGTTGGGTTAGGATCCACCCCCTCGTCTAGTTGGCTGGGGTCAAGGGATGGGAGAGAGGGACAGAACATCAACTCTGTGCCCCTGAGCTGGGCCTTAGGCCAGGAAGTTTTGAAAGAGAGATAGGAGAAAGAGAAAAGAGGGTTTAAGAATTCTGAACAAGTATGTGCTTTGAAAATAAGTTTTCTCTCTCCTGTCTCTCTTCCAAATTGGTTCTCTGTTTTATTTTCCTGGGGCATGTTCCATCAAGAATAAGGGTAGACAAGGCAGCATCTGGCCCTGATATTTCATAATTTCTCATTCTTAATGTTATTTTCCAGTTGCTGCCAGAAACATTAAAAGAGGTGGGTTGGTGCTGTGCCTGTCCCCTAAAACACTTGCTGCCTCCTCATCTCTCTTCTTCCCTCACTGCTATGGGCCCTGCTTTTCCTCTCTTCCATCCTACTCTCAGGTCAGTACTTTCACAGAAGATAAGAATTTCCATAGACTTGGGCGCCTGGGTGGCTTACTCGTTAAGCGTCTGCCTTCAGCTCAGGTCATGATCCCAGGATCCCGGGATCGAGCCCCACCTCGGGCTCCCTGCTCCGCGGGGAGTCTACTTCTCCCTCTGCCTGCCGCTCTGCCTACTGCTCTCTCTGTGTCTCTGTCAAATAAATAAAATCTTTAAAAAAAAAAAAAATTTCCATAGACTTGCCTCTTAGGAATGACAGGGACAGTATAGGTACTTCTCAAGGGGGCTGCTGAATTCATTGGTTCTTGAGTGGGCATAATAAATAGCAATAATTTATGATCACGGACTCTGAAGAGCTCTCCATCAATGGGGAGGTAAGGCACATGTTTGAGAGTGTTTTTAGTGATACATGGAGTAAATGCCATACATGGATGATGTGGGGTCCTTGCCATATCACATTGATAGTCTTGTCCCCAGCTGACTTTTGTGCAGTGGTGACTTTTAACTAAGGGCAACATGCATACTGGAACTATGTGTGGAAGGTTGAGGATAGAAGAACATTGTTCTCTGACACAGTAACAGTTGATATCCACATTTTCTTTATTCAACAACATATACCACATTTCACACAGTGTCAGGCCTGTATAACTAAGTGCCCACTATTTGTTAGAGGAAGGGATAAGTCAGTGCAGAAACTCCACAGTTACCTGATGTCCACGGCATCTTCAGCCTGGCCTGATAATTTGCTACACTCTACAAGTGCTTCTCAGATTGGTGAAGGACAGTGAGAACACTGTCCTGCTGCCACCCGACTTATAAACCACAATAAAAACATTTTAGTAGAAAAACAAAATAATAAGGCGTAAGCTTGCATTTCGTATCTTTTTATTATCACTAGATGGAATATATATATAAAGTTACTTAGCTCAGTTGCTGTAAAAGTTTCTAAAGGGTTAAGTTTGAAGATTTCCCCTGCTCCTTAGGCACTTTAAATAGCACTGGTCTGGGGGATTCTTCCAGCTAATGAATTGGGATACACAGGGGAAACAGTGGTTCATGGAGTGGGTGGACATGAAGAAATGGAGAAAGATTTGGAGAGTAAAGAGAAAGGGAGGGCATTTGTCTAGAATGCCAAGTCTCCACTGTACTTTAGGATAAATCATAATTCATATATATTGACTGTGCTTCTGCTTTTGCACTAAACTGTGATGTAGAAAATTTAGAAAGGGCACACAAATGCAGAAGGAAGGGACAGACTGAGAGCTGTTGCCTCCAGTGTAATTACGAATTGATAAACCCCCACCTCTTTTCCCAAAAATAGTGTCAGCGTCCTTATCAAAACATTCTGAGCGCCATTTGGGTTCTCTGTTAACCCTCCCTAGAATAGAAATATGATTAAAGACCAGCAGCATTTTAATAAAATGATAATTAAACTTGTTGGAGGCAAGTTGTAGGGAGTGACCACCATTGTTTCATTAGTCATGAGGCTTGTTTTTGTGTTTTTTTTATTTATCACAGTAGCATGATTTCTGTTAGAACATTGCGATTAAGCTTCTAAAAGTAACTACAAGTATATTTTTACAACAACTTGATACACTTGGTTTTGAATTAGTAAAGGAAAACCAATAAAACAATGCATTTCAAAACACGGGCAAAAAAAGGATATTGATCCTGTGAGAATCAAATAATGACAGGCGATACTAGCTGCTGCTCTTTAATTTGTGAGCCCTCTTTGTGCACAACATTCATTTTTATCAGGATTAGTTGCTTAAAGGGGGGAATTATTGAGAAGAAATTGCTCCCATCCCAGATCTGAGTACTTCTTTGAGCCACGTGCTATACCAGGTGTGGCTGTAAGAATGAATAGCCAATAAAAACAGTTTCTGCCTTCAAGGAACTGTCAGTCTAGTTGGGAGAGGTAGATACAGCCAGATGATGCTAAAAGGTGGTAAATACTATAATGAAGGTGGGAATTTAGTACTGTTTGAGTCCTGACGAGACTGACTAACCTGAAAGAGTATGGGAAACCTTTACAGACATCGTGACAAGAGTTGGTCTATATATGCCATTTGTCTTACACTTTTGATATTTAGTGCTAGATTCAGGCAAGGTGACGTGTAATAGTCCCTGTGGGTGTTCAGTTGTAAGAAATTTAATGGAGTGCCTGGGTGGCTCAGTTGGTTAAGAATCTGACTCTTGATTTCTGCTCAGGTCATGATCTCAGGGTAATGGGATAGAGCCCTGAGTCGGGCTCCACACTCAGTGGAGAGTCTGCTTGAATTTCTCCCCTGGTCCCTCTGCCCCTCCCCCTGTGCTTGTGTGCGTGTGCTTTCATGCGTGCACACACACTCTATCAAATCTTTTTTAGGGCGCCTGGGTGGCTCAGTTGGTTAAGCGACTGCCTTCGGCTCAGGTCATGATCCTGGAGTCCCGGGATTGAGTCCCACATCGGGCTCCCTGCTCAGCGGGGAGTCTGCTTCTCCCTCTGACCCTCTTCCCTCTCGTGCTATCTCTCATTCTCTCTCTCTCTCAAATAAAAAAATAAAATCTTTAAAAAAAAATCTTTTTTAAAAAGACATATAGTAATTAAAATACAGAGGTTGAAATACCTGCATAGATCCAGCATTTTCACGGGTCTTCAGTTATTGTTCAGAAGATAGCAGTGGTGGAAAAACTCTTGTTTGCTAGAAAACTAGCATTTTATTTAGTGTTGTTATTAGGACATGGCAAATTTGAATATGATGAAGTGATTTCTGGATTAAGCAGACACTAACAGAAAAGTTAACAATGCTAGCTATTTGGAATTTAAGTTGTTAATGGTTGAGATGAAGGCTAAGAGTAAGATCTTGGGCAGTGGTAGGAGAAGGACTTTGATTCATTCTGATTGGAAACATTTGTAGTCCAGGAAGGAATCTCCCTAGGTTATTGGTAGTGGGAGGGATAAAAATGAAGGTATTAAGTAGGAGCATTACAAGTTTGATGTGATAGGATTGTGACAGTTTAAAAGGCAGAGCTTTTTTTGCCTTCCTCTTCCCACCCTCCCCCCCCCCCCCCCACCAAAGTGGGGCTCAAACTCAAACTCTGAGATCAAGAGTCACATGTTCTACTGACTGAGCCCCCAGGAGCCCCGGGCCAACATTGTTTCCACTCTTTTCTTAGCTCAGGCCTTGGAAATCAAGTGCTTCTTTTTTTTTTTTTTTTTAAGATTTATTTATTTATTTTGAGAGAGTGAGAAGAGAGAGAGAGAGATTACATGAGAGGGGGGAGGGTTAGAGGGAGAAGCAGGCTCCTCGCCGAGCGGGGAGCCCGATGCGGGACTCGATCCCGGGACTCCAGAATCATGACCTGAGCCGAAGGCAGTCGCTTAACATGAGAGGGGGGAGGGTTAGAGGGAGAAGCAGGCTCCTCGCCGAGCGGGGAGCCCGATGCGGGACTCGATCCCGGGACTCCAGAATCATGACCTGAGCCGAAGGCAGTCGCTTAGCCGACTGAGCCACCCAGGCACCCTCAAGTGCTTCTGTTCTAATGTCTGCTGAAAGAAAACTTTTACCTGTCATTGTATACATTGGGAGTCCTGAATCTTATTCCATAATCAATAGTCCTTTGTGATTTTTATGTACGTTTTTAAAAGTTTTGTTAACTGTGCTTCAAAACTATGAAAACTTGCATTAGAAACTTTACGTCTTAAGTTCTTCTGAGAATTCTCAAGCTAGACAAGGACTGAGTGATGCCTGGTTCCTTAGTTAAAACCCAGGATGTCCTAATCAGAATGTGACTTCAGTTTGGGATCTAATGGAAGGCATGGCCATGGGTGAAGGGGAGGACCAGGGAACTCTGGTGTATTGAATGGCAGTAGTAAAAAGAAGTAGAATTCTTTCCCCCTACTTTTTCAGGAAATAGTTGAGATGTTTAAAGAAAAGAAACATCCCCCTGGAGAGCACCATGAATACGTAATAGAAGCTATATTTTGTTTCATGCAGCTCAAAGAAAATGAACGGCACGCTGGACCACCCAGACCAACCGGATCTTGATGCTATCAAGATGTTTGTGGGCCAGGTTCCGAGGACCTGGTCTGAGAAGGATTTGAGGGAACTCTTTGAACAGTATGGTGCTGTCTATGAAATCAATGTCCTAAGGGATAGGAGCCAAAACCCCCCTCAGAGCAAAGGTAAGGGCTTTGGGTTTTATAGGTAATTTCTGTCAGTGTGCTTGCTATCATTGCCAGAATGCTCCTCTGATCACATTCTAAAGGGAGGAACTATGTCCTTTTATAGTAATTATATCTTCCAGCCCAAACACATTTAATGGCATAAAAATAAAAAGTTAAGGTGATATCATGAGGATAATTTGTAAATTGGATCGTAGGTGGTCCTTTGCGAGAGCTCTAAATTCAAGAGACAGACTCATGAGTGTGTGTGTGTGTCTGTGTGTGTGTGTGTCTCTCTCTCTCTCTTTTTAATGTGTCTCTTGATCTTGGGAATGGAATGACAAAGTTGAAATAAACCAACCACATAAGGTTTTCTTTGGTGTTTTGGCTAGACTAAGCTGAAAGAAAAAGACTGTCCACACCATACCTGTGGATTTCTGTTAGTGTTTCAGAGGCCTTGCAGAATGGCTTAGCAACCAGGAGGGACCTGTTTGTAGGTAACCTGTTTGTTGTAGCCTACAAGATGAATGGAAGAAAGGCTGAGCTACTTGCAGAAATACCTACCAAAGTAGAAGCTTTATGGAAACAATGGTAGAAAAGCCATTAGCTTTGCCCTGTACACGCACATATAATATTCTTTTCCAAATAATCTATTTCAGAATAATTTTCTGTGGAAGCTGTTCTACAGTGCAGTTGTAAGCAAGCAGGATTGTTATGTTTAAAGCCAGTTTAATAACAGAGGATCTAGAAGCAGAGAAATTATTTTCCTTTTCTGGTATAGTTAACCAAAAATATAAAGTATTATAGTTCCTGAAAATGGCGATGTAACATGCAGTGATTTAGAATCTTAATTGCACTGATTTTGAAAGGAATCAGTATTGTATCTCCTGGGACTAGGAACCCATATTTACAAGACACACTTCTCCCCTCCTATCCCTAATAAAGATACAAAGCACAAAATCTGCAGATCTCCTCAGTCAGGGCCATGTGCTGTTAGAAGCTTAATTATATTCGATGAAAACCAAGGGTCCAGAAAAAGATATTAAGTGTTTCTTGCTCTTTCGTCATTTTATAATTTAATAAATGGTAATTATGTTTGAGGCATATGGTAAAAATTGGCTACAATGTAAGGAGTGATTTATTCTGAGAAAGAATGAGTTCCTGGTAGACTACAAGCCGCAAGAGTGCAAGGCCCGTCTCTTTTGTTTGTTCCTGAATGTCTTACCCCACATAACCTGGTGCTCCAACTAGGGTGGGTTGAATGGCATGGTACAATGACATTTATAAGGGAAGTTATCTTTCCCAGAGAAGTTAGAGGAGCAACTAAAGAATTTTAGTAGAACTCAGAGACTATAACAATAAAGAAAATGCATAGAAAGTAATGTATGGTTTTTTTCTGCTTCTCTCCCCCCCAGGAGGGGGGTTGCTAATTTTAATAAGTTTAGCCTTCTCTTTGAAGTTCCAGTATGTCCATGGAGGAGGGAATACTCTAGGGATTATCTGCTTTCAAAAGACTGGTTTGATTTAGTGAAATTTTATTTATTGCAGGGTGCTGTTTTGTTACATTTTACACTCGCAAAGCTGCATTAGAAGCGCAGAATGCTCTTCACAACATGAAGGTCCTCCCAGGGGTAAGAAAGCTCCTACTAGTAAGTGGAACTGTGGTGGTTTTGACATATGGAACATACTTATGCATGTCAGGCACACACTGAAAACCATTTTGGGGAAAAGGTGACTGCCCGAGGGATTGATATAAAGGAGGACATAAAGGGAACATTTCAAAGAAGATAGGCTGAAAGTGGTTTAGTTCTCTCTTAGCCAAGGGAATTTTGACTTCCTGATTCAGATTCTATTTTGATATTTTGGGAAGAAATGATCATGAGGCAGATGTGAGGTCAGAGAAAACTCTTAAGGCTCTAGTTTCGGTATTTCCTTTAGAGTCCTCGTTTATATTTCTGAATGCCTTCAATGTGTACAATGATAATATTTGTGTGTTTTCCTTTTTAGATGCATCATCCTATACAGATGAAACCTGCTGACAGTGAGAAGAACAATGGTAAGCAAGTGTGTAAAGCCCTCCCCTTATAAGGTTTCTTCTAGTTTACTGTTCGTTCTGATGGCATCTGGATTGTATTTGCTTTAAGCAATTGTTTTTAAGATTTTATTAATTTATTTGACAGAGAGAGACACAGACAGAGAGAGGGAACACAAGCAGGGGGAGTGGGAGCGGGAGAAGCAGGCCTCCCGCCAAGCAGGGAGCCCGATGTGGGGCTCGATCCCAGGACCCTGGGATCATGACCTGAGCCGAAGGCAGACGCTTAACGACTGAGCCACCCAGGTGCCCCTGTTTCTGTTTTGTTTTTTTTTAATTGACATCTAAGTGACAAAATATTAAATTTGTCTCAGGTGTGCAACATAATGATTCGGTACTTGTATATATTAGAAATGATCACCCATGATAAGTCTAGTTATTATCTGTCACCATACAAAGTTCTAAAAACTTCTGAGGAGAATTTTTAAGATCTACTTTCTAAGCACCTTTTAAATATGCAGTATAGTACTATTAACTGGTAGTTGTACGTTTTGATCCTTTTCGCCTTTTTTGCCCACTCCCTTATGCTCAACCTCTGGCAACCCCCAGTCCTGTTCTGTGTATCTGTGAACTTCTTGGTTGGGGGTGGGTTGGTTTGTTCATTTGTTTTTTAAGGTTTTACATGGAAGTGAGATCAGACAGTATGTTTCTCTGTCTGAATTCTTTCACTCAGCATAACGCCTGCAGGGTCCTTCCGTGTTGTCACAATGGCAAGATTCCATTCTTCTTTATGGCTGAATAATATCCGAGGTGTGTGTATGTGTGTACCCCACATTTTATTTATCCGTTATCTGTCAGTGGACACTTAGGTGGTTTCTGTCTCTTGGCTATTGAAAATAATGCTGCAGGGTGCCTAGGTGGCTCAGTTGGTTAAGCGACTGCCTTCGGCTCAGGTCATGATTCCAGGCTCCTGGGATCGAGTCCCGCATCGGGCTCCCTGCTCAGCAGGGAGTCTGCTTCTCCCTCTGACCCTATCCCCTCTCATGCTCTCTCTATCTCATTCTCTCTCTCAAATAAATAAAATCTTTAAAAAAACAAAAAAAAGGAAATGCTGCAGTGAACATGGGTGTGCAGCTTTTCTTCTTTTTTTAAGATTTTATTTTTACGTAATATCTACACCCAATGTGGGACTCGAACTCAAAACCCCAAGATCGAGAGTCGCACACTCCACTGACTCAGCCAGCCAGGCACCCTGAGTGTGCAGCTTTTGGAGTTAGTGTTTTCATTTTCTTCAGATCAATACCCAGAAGTGGAATTGCTGGATCATATGGTTAGCTCTCTTTAATTTTTTGAGACCCTCCATATTAATTTTTACAGTGGCTGCAACCAATTTATATTTCCACCAACAGTACACAAGGGCTCTCTTCTTCACATTCTCACCGACTCTTGTTATTTCTTGTCTTTTTGATTATAGCCATTCTGACAGGTGTGAGGTGATACCTTATTGTGGTTTTGATTTGCATTTCCCTGAAAATTAGTGATGTTGAGCATCTTTTCATATACCTGGTGGCCATCTGTATGTCTTTGGAAAAATATCTTTTCACATCCTCAGCCTGTCTTTTAACCAGGTGTTTTGTTTCATTTGCTTTTGAGTTGTATGAGTCTTTATTTTATTTTATTATTTATTTATTTATTTATTTTAATCTTTATGTTCCTTTATTGGAGCAAGATTCCTGACCAGTATACAGTGATGTATTACTAAACAAGACCTGTGCAGAAATTACATACTATCCATCTAGACAGGTTTTCATTACATTTTGCCTATTGATGGAATAGTTCCGTTTATAAAGTTTTACACATCAGAAAGCTTTGAATTTTGACCAGGCTGTCCATTAATTCATCTCTGAAAAAGTTAAGTGGCATTTAATTTTAGCTACTATAATTTACAGCATTAAAAAGCTTATGCATTAGGCAGCTTCCCAAAATGGTATTCTATGCACAATGGCATTTAGCAGAGCAGGGCCCGGCATCTCACCCGGATTCACACCGACAGGCCTCGCTGGAGAGCTATATGCTAAGTAGCTAGTACTTTGAGACAAAAGTACTCCTGAGTTTCTTACCACCAATACGGACTTCTTACTCTGAGAGTCTGTCTTCTCAGCCACATTTCATAGTACCGGTGAAAACATGCCAGTAACTGCCTTGTGTGTAACTTGGCATTAGAGCACCAGGTCTGTCTGATGGTGGTGGCAGGCACTATTATTATATCCAGGTAAATAAAGGCCCATTTTTAAAAATGCCAATTTGAGACACAAATCAAGGGCACAACATAATCAGAACTGAGTTTTGAGCAATCTGGTATCCTGATGGATATGAAGATTTCAGAAACTGACCACAAATTATACCCACTATGGCTCCTGGCTTTGGAGACATTACTACATTGATTCAGATCCCTTTCTCAGTCCACACAGCCCTGAGGTCACCCTGCAAAGTGCATATCAAAAAATAGGCGGAGTCAGGGTGACAAAGTTTGACAATATGTTATACAAGTCATACTTGGAAAATCATATTAAATATACCTGTTCTGAGAGAAAAGCTTCAGATTCTTTGTGTACACATTTAGTTTTATTGTAACAAAGCAACTTGTACACTTTTAACGTTTAAAACTGAGCATCATCTTTCCTTTCCAGTGAAACAAAAAGAAAATTTAAAAATAAACAGGAACAAAATTACAATAGAGAATGTCAATTCCAAATAAGATCCTACAGGTTCTGCTGATTCTCCCATCAAGTGGCAGGGCTCAAGTCATCATTAGGAGAGAGTTTTATTTTAAAAGTGTCATCTTAAACTGCAAGGATGTCCGTTAAACATCACAATTAAACATGCCAAAGGAGAAGCCATGTCACAATGCCCACTTAACCCACCCAAACATCTCAAACCCACCCTTTGCTGTCCTTCTATAACCCCATTTTTTTAAGTTTTTTTTTCTTTTTTTTTTAAACAAGAGAAAGTAGACAGGTTCATGTTGGTAAATGCTAACTGTCCATATTCACATAGAGACACAGTGTAATCTCTGAGCCCAATATACAGAGAAAGGAGGAAAAAAGCTAGAATTCTGTGCACTACTACACAGGGGTCTGGCACCCTCCAGCTTCCAGCAGAGCTAAGGGAGCAGAAGGTTTTTCTTTTTTCCCACAGAGCATGCTGCTGTTGATTCCATAAAGTTTTTGTTGAGACAGGAAGGGATAAAAATGAATTTGGAACAGAAAGGGGTAGAGATTCTTTTCCCACTGTATTCTGCTCAAGGTATTTCCCCCCAAAATAAGTTGAGAACCATGGTATAAAGGGAGAGAAAAGAGACTTCAAAAAACAGGGCGAATGAGCACAAGAGGAGGGGAAAAAAAAAAAAAACAACTGCAACTTGCCCCCAGGGACTGATGAAAATTAAAAAAGGAAGGTTGGAATCCATCAGCGTTCCATTAGTCGTCTTCTCCTATACCCTCCTCGTCTTCCTCCCGCTCATCATCACCTTCATCTTCTTCACCTTCATCCTCATCTCCTCCTCCACCGATATCTTCTAATCCTTCTTATTCATCATCATCATCATCATCTTCTCCTTCCCTTCTTCATCATCCATATCGGGAAGCAAGTAGTACTCCAATGGATTTGGCCAAATACCATCTTTGATGACCCGTCCTGACTCATCTGCACCTGCATCAGAATGGTCCGTAAACCAGGTGAAGAAGCTCTCTGGTTCCTCATGCTGTCTCTTCCTGCTGGCTTTATTCTGTGTTTGACTTGAACGTTTCGTCAAATATGAGTCTTTATTTTAGATATTAACCTCTTACCAGATAAATGATTTACAAATATTTTCTCCTATTCAGTAGGTTGCCTTTGCATTTTGTTGGTGGTTTTCTTTGTAGAAGCTTTTTAGTTTGATATAGTCTCACTTGTTTATTTTTGCTTTTGTTGTCTTTGTTCTTGGAGTCAGATCCAAAAAATCATCTCTAAGATCCATATTAAGGAGCTTTACTACTACATTTCTAGGAGTTCTATGGTTTCAGGTCTTATAGGTTTTATGGTTTCAAGTCTAAGCCATTTTGAGTGTGAAGTAAGATAGTAGTCCAGTGCACTAAGTAATCTATCATCTAGATTTTTCTTTTTGGGGCACCTGGGTGGCTCAGCTGGTTAAGCATCTGCCTTCAGCTCAGGTCATGATCTCAGGGTTCTGGGATTGAGCCCTGCATTGGGCTCCTTCCTCACTAGGGAGTCTGCTTCTCCATCTTACCGTCCCTCTGTGCTTGCTCGCACTCTCTCTCTCAGTCTCCCTCTCTCAAATAAATAAAATCTTAAAAAAAATTAAGATTTTATTTATTTGAGAGAGAGACGAAGAGTGAAACAGAATGAGCAGGGGGAGGGGCAGAGGGAGAGGGAGAAGCAGACTCTGCTGAGCAGAGAGCCCGATGTGGGGCTTAGTCCCAGGACCTTGGGATCATGACCTGAGCTGAAGGCAGATGCTTAACCGACTGAGCCACCCCCGGCGCCCCTAAATAAAATCTTTTAAGAAATAGTTTTTTTCTTTAAATATGGTAAATAATGAGATAGAGTTGATAGGTAAACAGTATAAGAACATTTTAGAGTAATCTAGGATGTCTTTGATCAGTATGATTTCTTCTGGACAGAAATGGGGGTGGGAGGATGGACAAGTTAAGAAGGAGAGCATAGTCCTCAAGAGAATAATCAGAAAAGGAAAGTGACAGTTACACTCACTGAAACGTGTTGTGTTTCTCTTGTTGTATCAGTTAAGTGTGAAAATTCATCTTTTGGTACAGTAGTACTGCTAGTAAGAACAAACATCACTAAGTGCTAGGCATGTACTTTGCATGTAATACCTACAGCTACTTTTGAAATAAACGCGTTTATCCCTATTCATCAGAGGTGACAGTCGTGGAATGGTTAAGTAACTTTCACAAGATCACAGAACTACAATATGTCATCTAAATGCTTCCAATTTTAATCTTAAGGTACAATTGATTATAAGAAGAGGTGCTAAATGATGAAAAAATGCTTATCTTGAATCCAAGTAATATGGTCTAGAGGCATAGAGCCAGGATTCAAACATAGTCTGACTCCAGAGTCTGTGCTACACGATCTCTTGTAGTAATGTTCAAGCCTTTTGTGTTTTACTCTCTTAGCAGTGGAAGACAGGAAGCTGTTTATTGGTATGATTTCCAAGAAGTGCACTGAAAATGACATCCGAGTCATGTTCTCTTCATTTGGACAGATTGAAGAATGCCGGATATTACGGGGACCTGATGGCCTGAGCCGAGGTGGGTACATTTTTAGCTTTTAAAGATACTTAAATTTGGAGTCTCTTTTAGTTGGACCAGTGGAAACCAGTGTTCCCTAGCCAACATGGCCTTGTCATGATGGAGAGGTTGGGCTTGGTGTTGTAAATCTAGGTCCCATCATGGCTCTTCCTACCAGTTGATTCCTTTAGAATCGTCCCAACCCCCTAAGGAGTCTACATTCTACACTTCAGTTTCATGTGTTAAAATTTTCTCTTTTTGTGCTTGGAGAGGTCCTTAATGCCAAAATGGAACACTTTCTTCTCAAGAGGAACTAGAGGACTGTGATTCCTCCTTTATCCCCTTATCATGTTACTTTCTTTCCTATTGTGCTTCCCTGGTTTTTCATGAAAGCACTTAGCACTGTTATGATGTATCTGTCTCCTCCACTAGATCGTAAACCCCCTGAAGGCAGGAACCATAACTGTATTGCTAGCATAGTACTTGGCACATAGTAGGTGCTCAGTAAATGTCTATCAGGTAATTAATAAGCAAATGAATGAATGAGTTATTGACACTTCTCTTACCAGGTTGTGCATTTGTGACTTTTACAACAAGAGCCATGGCACAGACGGCTATCAAGGCAATGCACCAAGCACAGACCATGGAGGTAGGGAGCAGATGAATGAAAGGGAAAGTTCCTTAGCCTGAGAGTACTAGGACAGTTGGCCATCAAAGCTCTGCAGCATGTACAGCATCCGATTGCCCTAAAGGTTAAGCAGGCTAAACATCTTAAAGTTAAAAAATGCTGCTCTCTTGAAGTTAACATATTAGAAGTAGCCCTTTTAAATTTGTCTTTTGCCACTTGTATCTATCAGGAAGAGAGTCATTTGGCAGTGAATGAAATTAGAATGCATCCTGTGTGTCACTACAAAGGATTTTTTCTTTCACCCAGAAGGAGGAATTTGACCCTTTGGCTTTGGTGTTTTCATAGGGTTGCTCATCTCCCATGGTGGTAAAATTTGCTGATACGCAGAAGGACAAAGAACAGAAGAGAATGGCCCAGCAGCTCCAGCAGCAGATGCAGCAAATCAGCGCAGCATCTGTGTGGGGAAACCTTGCTGGTCTAAATACTCTTGGACCCCAGTATTTAGCAGTGAGTCTTTGTGGTTTGCTTTCTGCAGACTGTGCAAGCTCCCAGCTGTTTCTTCTTGTGCTGTCCCTAGCTAATAGACACAATGGCATTTACGACTTTAACGTGTCCGGTTTTTTTTGTAAAACTTCAGGCAATGCAATATTCTTTAAGTTACGTTAGTGTATCTGTCTCACCATCTCTCTTTGTCTTTTCTCTCTCATCACACATCTTGGGTTATATCTTGAGACTTCCGCTACTATTAAAGTGAAATCCTGATTTCCTGATATAAAAATTTAGAAAGATCTCATATGTCCCTGTCCCTTTAGTTTTTTTAAAAGAAAATCTTGATTTAATCTTAACTACCAAATACCTTTCCCCATTTCTTTTTCCCAGATGTAAAAGGCTTCTTTAAAATCCTAGTTGAGTCTTCCCTGAAGAGTATGATAAATGTTTCTTCCCACTGACTGAGAGGTCAAGATATTGATACAGACATTATTAAATGAGTATTACAGGTGTATATTTGAGTTTACTACATTGTAAATAGATCTTTTAATTTGATCTCTCTTTTGTTGAGTTTGAGTCATGCAGTCCAAAGGCTCCAGTTTGTTATTTAGATTTACTAGATCTACAATATATATTATAGGGGATAACCACTGCTTTAACCCTTGAAAGAATAGCAGACAGTACAAGACACTTAAAACTGTCTCATCTGTGAAGCTATCACCGAAGGAAAATCAGTGCTGAAACCATTAGATTTGTATGGATAGTCCCAGAAATATACACGTAAGAATAAGTATAGTCCTTCACTCCTCATCCTTTAAAACATTGTTCTGTATAGAAACAGAAGAAAGGCAATGATTTCTGTCCTTCAGTACTGAATTTTGGCTAATTTGACACCAAATATGGCCTTCATATTTCTAAAATGTTAGAAGAAATCCCAGTTTTCCAGCTAGTATTTGTCCGAAGTCAAAAAATGTAGATGGGGGGTGCCTGGGTGGCTCAGTTGGTTAAGTGTCTGCCTTCGGCTCAGGTCATGATCCTGGAGTCCCAGGATCGAGTCCTGCATACGGCTCCCTGCTCAGCAGGGAGTCTGCTTCTCCCTCTGACCCTCCTCCCTCTCATGCTCTCTCTCTCTCTCTCTCTCATTCTCTCTCTCTCAGATAAATAAATCTTAAAGATCATCACATATCATTTAAAAAAATGTAGATGATTGATATATCTCAACAGATTAAAATGTTTCTTAGTGCTAGAACATTGCTTATATAGTTCAGAAAATTCGGGAAGATTTTATTTTGGTCTTTTGCCAAAATGATAATATGTTGAAAATGATCTCCATGATAAGCATTTGCTTTTCTTAGAGAGTTTTGAAGCTCTTTTTAGGGAAGACTCCCCTTTTTATTGCCATTGACATATCCAGCAGTGCATGATGGTATTTGTTGAGAGCTGAAGTCTCTTTGTTTTAGTTAGACATGATCCCTGCCCTCAGAGCTGTTCTCATTTAGGGAGGAAATGAAGGTGCCAAGTACAGTGTATGCACAGTCCACCAGTTGGAATTGAGCACATTGCCCGAGGTATTTCAGACAAAAATAAAGACATGGGTGTATAAATGGTATATTATCATTAATTGTGAGGTTCTTTCTGGAATAGGTGGACTTGAACCTGATCTCTTTTGGACTAGAGCAATGGTTCTTAATCTTTGTGGGGTGTGGACCCCTCTGAGAGGCTGATAAAAATTATGTGCATGCCCATTTTTTCATTCTGTATCGGAGGTTTGTGGACCTCCTGAAACCTATGCGGACTAAAGAGGTTCATGATGACAGGGGAACCAGGTCAGGTGTTTATGGGAATGAGCAACAGGTTGAATAAAGGATCCAGAAACAGGAATATCAGTTGTCCATAAGGAAAAGTGATTGGCTTTGAATGGAGCAAAGGTTTTCAGCAGGTTTGTTAGACACAGGTTACTATATGCTAAGATAGTGAATAAGGTCACAAAGATCCAGAAGCTCATGGACAGGCCCTCTTGTTTTGTTAGGGAACAACCATTGAAAGGGAATACACACTGAACTGATCTATCAGTCTGTCAATCATTTGGTCATCTGCAACGTGGGGACCGATTTGGGGGGAGGAGATAAATGGGGCTGGATGGATATGTGGAGAGTGTGGAAAGACTGATTAGTCATGGGTCTGTTGTGACCAGCAAAGAAGGATTCCAAGAAAGAGAGACTCTGAAATGGTTAGATTTGATATTTAAAATAGTTGTGTGAAGTAGAAATTGAAAATTTAGATGGAAACAATCTACAAAATAAGATGTATAGTCCGAACTAAGGAAAACTTGGGAGAGAGGAGCCAGAAGTGGCGGTCATCCGTGTGTGGATGCTCAGTGCAGTGGATTGCATAGCTGCTGGAGTTGAGCTTAGTTCTCTGCTCTCCTCCTGCCCGCTGCCGTGCTGCCCTCTGTTGCCCAGGGACTTGAGCCTGGCTCAGTACTCAGTGAACATAACTGTCCCCTGGGTCAGGGCTTTAGCCGTGTCGCAGTGTCCTGTGCTGTCAGAAGCCTCATGTTTCTGTTGTGTTGGCTTGGGCTCTTGTCTTCAGCTCTCTTCTCTCTGGGGGCCTCTGCACTCTCGCTTTGCTGTGCTGTGGAGTTATCCCAGGTGCAGAGCCAGCCCTCACTCTCACTCTTGTTCTGTTTTTTGGTGTAATGTCTAGCTTTATTTGCAGCTCCTTCAGCAGACTGCCTCCTCTGGGAACCTCAGCACCCTGAGCGGCCTCCACCCGATGGGAGGTAAGTGTCTCACTGCTGTGGAGGAGCGGCAGCAACCAGGCCACGGGGCCCAGCCAACAGCAGTCTGAGAGTTTTGCACCGTTTGTACAGAAAACAGATGTTTTCCCACCCGTTTCATAAACCCAGCGTGAGATGAACATCCCAGGACTCAACTGCCTTGTCTCTGGAAGGTGGCTCTCTTAGTTGTATACAAGATTGCTCGGGGGTTGTCTGATACTCTCCACCCCTTTAACTGTTGAGGAGGAAGATGGAGAAGAGCTCTTTGCACGAGTAGACTATCTGAAGACATTTTGATAAGGAGAAAATTGCAGGAGCTCTTTATTTCCCCAATAAAGTGATTTTTCCAGTGACTCTTTGAAGCCTAAGACAGCATCCATGCAGATGTCTTACCAGAAACTGCTAGAATCTAGGCAGTTAGTTTACCTCTGTGTCTTACACATGTTATTTCTTAGGTGAATTACCTTTTGTTGCCGTTAATGTGCACGGAAAACTTAATTGACAAATACCTAAGTTATGACAAAAGATGGGGCTCCACAGACAAACTTGAAGGTGGAGCTGTCAGACAAGTGAGTGGGAAGCGAAGCATTTCCAGTGCCCCCTGCCGCTATCCCTTCTGCCGTGGATTAAATGCACGTGCTCAGCAGGTGCATCTGAGCAAGGGGTAGTCTTAAGTGAACTGCATTTTGCTATATGAGAAACTTTGATAGGGGTTCACTTTGGCTCAAGGACTTGGAGTTTGCTATGTTTTTGGAAATTTGCTAGATTATAAATCTGTGTTGTAGTTCAGTTTTTATTCTAACTCTCCCCCCAACCACCACCACCCATCTGCTTTTCCATCATCTAATGAGTGGTTTGCAGCACACTGTCAGTGCAGTTCAGCTTTCTTGCTCCTTCTGACTGTTGCTTGGAGGTTTTTTCCCTCGGTGTTTTTCTCTCCCCCTTCTAATGAGTGATCTGCTATTCAAGTGGTGGTTTTTCTTTAGTCTTTCTCCTATTCCTTTTCTCACGTGCATCCTCCTCTGTCATTATCCCCCTTGGTCACCTGGATCCTGCTGCATTTTCTGCCTGTCCACCTCCATTGGAAAGAGCAAATCCCCTATAAAGTACGAGTGAGGGGCTCGGATGCAGTTCCATTCTGTGCCACAAGTTTTGTCATTTGTTGTTCTCCTGGACACCTGGCTTTGTGGTGGACCACAGACCTTACCTGTCTTGGTTTCTTCATTGCCAGTCCCTTTTATGAATATTCACTTGGGGTGGCATGCTATTGGATTGGATATCTTCTCTTGAGGCAATGATGTCAGGTTTCTTAATGAGTTGAGCGATATCTGAATCTTTTTTAGAGCCTTGTAGTGTTGCTTGTAAGGCTTACCTAGAATAGTTCCTCTTTGGAACCAGCCTTCACCAGTGTGTGCTGTCATTGATGGAACGGATACAAGGAACCCTTATGTGCTGGCTGATCTCTTGCTTTGGATGTTGCAGGGTTAAATGCAATGCAGTTACAGAATTTGGCTGCTCTAGCCGCTGCAGCTAGTGCAGCTCAGAACACACCAAGTGGTACCAATGCTCTCACTACATCCAGCAGTCCCCTCAGCGTACTCACCAGTTCAGGTAAGTGTGTTGTTGGAACCAACATGCCCTTGTGTGCCTTGGGCAGAATCCCCAGAGAGGGGTCTGTCATTCTGGAGAGTAGTTAACATCTATTTCCAAAGGGGTCAGACTATGAATAATTAATTTTCAAATGTCACCTTCTGACTTAAGAGAAATCTCCTAATTTTTAGTTTGTTATAACTGTCATTTGATTTTATGTCCTGCAGCAACAGTAATCGGAATCTGAAAACCTCTTTACTAAGAGAATACTTGAGTAGTATCAGTCTTGTGCTTTGGTTCCTGTTGACATGCAAAGCAAGGGTTGGCTTGACTTTTAACACCCAGGTTTCTGATCACAGGGTCCTCACCGAGCTCCAGCAGCAGCAGCTCTGTCAACCCCATCGCCTCCCTGGGAGCCCTGCAGACATTAGCTGGAGCAACAGCGGGCCTCAATGTCAGCTCTTTGGCAGGTGAGGGACAGCCCCTGGATGTCATCAGGCCATTTGTTGTGCAGGTAGCACATTTTAAACAACCGTGGTAGGTCACCATTTAGAATGAACAGGGTGGCCCGGTAAAGTTAGAAATAATCATGGGATTTCAAGTCAGACCTGAGTTAAATCCCACCTCTGCCCCTTAACTAGCTGTAACATAATACCACCTAAGGTCATTTTCTCATCTGCGAAGTGGGAAAAGAACACTTTGAGGGTTGTTAAGTAAATGAGAGCATAGGTAAAGTGCTGAGCACATGGCTTAGTACAGTGTCAGGCATGTAGAATGTATTTAAATATTAGCTGCTATTTCGATGATAGGGTTTACCCACATCTTGTCCTAGACCACACACACCCCTTTTAGCACCCAAACCTGAGATGCTTATTTTACCACGTTCCAACTCTGTGTGAGAAAGTGACAGAAAAGTCAGAAGATGGAGCAGGTCATGTGTAAGTGGTATCACTTCCTGCGCAGGCTGGAAAAAGGTAATGGGGAGAGCCACAGGTGGGTGTGGCATTTTTAATGTTCCCATGAGCAATAAGGCCTGGTGAGTGTCCTGAGATCTGACCAGTCAGATGTGTGGTCCTTCTCAGGGAGAAGCTGAGAGAGAGCAAAAAGGGAGAACTTTGGAGTTTGTTTTTGGTGCCACTCGAGTCTTTCCAGTATGTTAATCCTGGTCTTCCCCACCACCAAGGGATGGCTGCTTTAAATGGTGGCCTAGGGAGCAGTGGCCTTTCCAACGGCACTGGGAGCACCATGGAGGCCCTCACACAGGCCTACTCGGGAATCCAGCAGTATGCTGCTGCAGCGCTCCCCACTCTGTACAACCAGAACCTGTTGACACAGCAGAGTATTGGTGCTGCTGGAAGCCAGAAGGAAGGTGAGTAGAGAAGGGAGGCTACGGTTAGGGACTGGGAGGACGGGGGAATTACTCTCCCTGCAGCAGAGGTGAAGGCAGGGCAAAGGCCAGGAGGACCAGTCAGGTGGTCAGACCCATGCTTTTCTTTGGCACTGTCCAAGGTAGACTGATAAGCTCTGTAAACTGTACTCTGCTTTTGGAACGTTCTCTGGATGTGGCTCAGATCAGAACCTCTGTTTACCCTCCTGTGATCAGGCTGCAGGTTTTATTTTTTTATTTTATTTTTTAAAGATTTTATTTATTTGACAGCGAGACAGAGAGGGAGCACAAGCAGGGGGAGTGGGAGAGGGAGAAGCAGGCACCCCGCCGATCCCAAGACCCTGGGATCATGACCTGAGCGGAAGGCAGACGCGTAACGACCGAGCCACCCAGGCGCTCCCAGGCTGCAGGTTTTAGATGAAGAAGCATACTGACCTTACTGTTTGACAGCATTTCGCAGTCTGTTGTTGTTGTTGTTGTTAAGAAGTCATCTTTGTGGATTACAGATTTGTCAGAGGATGTTTTCTGTCTGGGTGTCCCTTTTAAGCTCTGTTATTTGGCATTTTCCTCATTTTTTGATCGCCATTTTTCCTAATTGAGGACACACTGAAGATGATGGGACAGAAGGAGTTATGGCCCATGTGTTGGTGAATTGGGAAGTGTGTGCTTTGACATAAATAATATTAAATGCAGGAGAGACTTTCTCGGCAGAAAGAGGCCTGACAGTGGTTTGCATGAATACAGAGTCCTGCTGACACCTCAGTGCTCGTAGTTGACTGGATTTCTGTGGCCAGAAGCTGGCAAGGTTTAAGCACTAATGTGGGGGAAAGACACGTATCCTCTCTTGCCACGGCAGCAAGGACTCCTGGTATTGTGCATCCTCACCTGCTCTGAATCAAGATGCTTCTGTTCCCTAGGATGTGGTAGTAGGGGAACTGAAAGAACTGTGGAGACAGACAGTAAAGCAGGAAAGGCATGAGGTGTTCCGCATGATGCTCTGAGGACTGATGAATGGGAATGAGGGATGGAGGGCTGGAGAGTGACAGAGGCACAGCATTTTGTGTAGAATGGTCAGAGGTCTCTAATTCCACATCTAAGCAGAGCCCAGAGGAAGTAAGGAAGCAAGCCATGCCTAAATCTAGAGGAAGAAGAGTAATGGGAGCAGAGGAGCACCAACTGCAAAGGCCCTGAGGCAGCACTGTTCCGTAATGTGTTTGGTACCAGCAGGGAGGCCTGGTGGCTGGAGAATGGCTGGACTGCAATTGTAATAAGACTTCTTTGGTTAGAAAGTCATTGAGCATAAGTGGTTGGAAAAAGAAAGCATATTCTATTTTGAGCTCAGTGTTAATCATAGGCACTTTTTATTTTTATTTTTTTTTTTAAGATTTATTTATTTGACAGAGACACAGCGAGAGAGGGAACACAAGCAGGGGGAGTGCGAGAGGGAGAAGCAGGCTTCCCGCGGAGCAGGGAGCCCGATGCGGGGCTCGATCCCAGGACACTGGGATCATGACCTGAGCCGAAGGCAGACGCTTAACGACTGAGCCACCCAGGCGCCCCCATAGGCACTTTTTAAAACGTAATTTCTTTTTATTGAGGTGCACTTTACATATGGTAAAATTCACCCTTTTGGGAATATATAGCTCTGTGAGCTTTAATGACCGCATATAGTCATGTAACCACATTCACAGATGGAGAATGTTTCCATCACCCCCAGAAATTCCCTCATGTCTCTTTGTAGTCATTCCCTGTCCCCACCTCCTGCCTCGCAACTGCCAGTCTCTTTGCTGTCCCAGTAGTTTCTAGCACAGTTTTGAAACCTGTTTTGTTTGCAATCTCTTTCTGCCTCTTTTTCTGTGTTTCTGTACAAGCCTTAGTCTCCGGTTTTATTGCACCACACACAAGTCTGCCTACTTTGTTGTCCTAGTACTCACTCCTCCCATAAGGTCGAATTCTGATACCCCTCAATGGGAAAGAGTCTGTTTCAGTGATTGCTCTTCAGTTTCCTGTTTGTATTTGGAGAATCTTTAGTTCTCCAAATAAATCTGTTTGTTGGGATACAGACAGGGTTTTTTTTGTTTTTTTTTTAAAATTTTATTTATTTATTTGAGAGAGAGAGAGAATGAGAGATAGAAAGCACGAGAGGGAAGAGGGTCAGAGGGAGAAGCAGACTCCCTGCCGAGCAGGAAGCCCGATGTGGGACTCGATCCCGGGACTCCAGGATCATGACCTGAGCCGAAGGCAGTCGCTTAACCAACTGAGCCACCCAGGCGCCCTTGTTTTTTGTTTTTTAAGATTTATTTATTTATTTGAGAGCGAGGGGGGGAGAGAGAGAGAGAGAGAGGAAGGGCAAAGGGAGGGAATCCTTAAGCAGACTCCTGGAGCAGTGCGGGGCTCGATCCCAGGACCCTGAGATCATGACCTGAGCCAAAATCGAGAGTTGGCTGCTTAACTGACTGAGCCACCCAGGTGCCCCAGGATACAGACAGTTTTAATGCAGGTAGAAATGAGAAACAGTGGTACTAGGGTGGGGGCGGGTGGAGCGGGGGTAAGCTTGACACTGATGCCTTTTCAATCAATGGGTATTTTGAAGGTCCAGAGGGAGCCAACCTGTTCATCTACCACCTGCCCCAGGAGTTTGGAGATCAGGACCTGCTGCAGATGTTTATGCCCTTTGGGAATGTCGTGTCTGCCAAGGTTTTCATAGACAAGCAGACAAACCTGAGCAAGTGTTTTGGTATGTTGGCTTCTCTTCTGGTGTTGGGAGAGTTAAGTATCGTTACCACTGAGAATGAGAAGGGGCTGATAGCAGGAAGAACTGGGTTTGAGTTTGGGTTACTGTTTAACTCAACGTTGGGCAGACATCATGACCTCTTGTTGAGCCTCAGTTTTTTCATTTCTGTAGCAGGGTGGTGGGTTTCTACCCACACTGTTGTTCCAGAGGTTAAAAAATAATAATAATGTATGGAAACAGCTTGGTCAAAAAACTTAAAAGTGCCATGTAGATGTCAAGTGGCACAGTCGGGAACCTAATCTATCTCATGTGATGTAATTCCCGGATTGCTTGTCCCTGCTGAGAAATTTGGGATATCAGACTGTGCTCACTCATAAGGTATCTTCTGTGTAAGGAGGACCCAGAATCTCCTTGCCTCATCATGCCCCTCCCCCTGTGTTCTGCTTGGACACACAGGTTTTGTAAGTTACGACAATCCTGTTTCGGCTCAAGCTGCCATCCAGTCCATGAACGGCTTTCAGATTGGCATGAAGCGGCTTAAAGTGCAGCTCAAACGTTCGAAGAATGACAGCAAGCCCTACTGAGCGTGCTCCCCTCTGAGACTGGAGTGAGAGGGTCTTCTGGTAAGTGGGGGAGGAGCACCCTTAATGATTCGAAGCCCTAAGGCTGTGTGTTGACAGCCCTGGACCCTGACCCCCGCCACTCTGCAGGCACAGCTTTGCCCTGAAGACTCGGCTACTGCCTTCTGTGGGAGTTTCGCTTCGTACAGAGGACGAGTTTGTGCTTTGGTTTCCAGTGTTTTACTTTGGAGTTTAGGTGCCATATCCTAAGTTTTTTTCTTTATTTAAAGTTTGCTGTGTTTGTAACCAGTGTGTGTTGAGAAGGACCAACATCAAACCGCCCTGGGGGAGGAGGGGGAATGGAGAAACATTAAAAAAAGAAGATGAGAGCTTTCCTCAACCTACCCCAAGAGAGAGGACTGAGTGAAACCAAAAACTGACCCCAGAATCTACCTTAGTGCAAGAGTGGGTGAAATAACTGACGCCCAAGAGCCTTGGGGGGCGGAGGCAGGGCTGCCTTTGGAGGTGAGGAGAGTTGACCCACACCCAGCGGCCCCGGGAGCTGGAGGCTGGAGCACCTCCCTCACTGCCTGCTGAGTTCTTGCCACCTATTTTGCAAGATTTCTGCTCCACTTTCCCAAGAAGGGGATGACAGTTCTCTGGGAATAAAGCACCTGTTAAATTAGCCTCACATATGCAAAAAGCAGGGAGACGTCCCCCATTACCAGCTTTTCCAGCCATCCATTGGTGTGGGATTGGCTCTGCCTGGCTGGTGGCTGGCTGTTAGGAAGAAGCAGCCAGTCAGGTCGTTTTTAGTTTATTTCAAGACCACATGGCCCATTTCTAACAGGTTCCTTTAACCAAGGCCTCTAGGGAAGACACTGTCTGGTTTCCTTCTGTGTAGTTGACCACAGCAGAGAGTGTCACTTCCATCCCGAGGCACAGTTTTTTCTTGAGGGTATATCCAAGAGGGTCTTATAGTATCTAGCTGAAGGGGGCACCTCTCCTGAGCAGAGTGATCGAAAGCCATCGAGTTAGGGGAGGAGGAGCCTGCTTCTTGGTGTACCTGAATCAGAAGGTCTCTTTAAGCCAGAGTGCTGCATTGGTCAGTGGCCAGCACTAACTACTTAAAAAGATGAGAAATCTACGCTTGCCTCCTTGGTTGAGGGGTCCCAGATGTAGTATTCCCCCGAGGCAGGCCCCTCTTCTAACCACTCCAGCCCCTTCTGCTCTTGGGGACACAGGAGACAACAGGACGTTTACAGCCTCCATATGGATTTAGTGTTCATTTACCTCAGTATTACCATGTTCATTTTTGTCCTCGTGCTTACAGTTAGCTCCCTGCTGCCTCCCACAGGTCTTACTCCAGCCCTTGCCTGTGACCCACACAGCCTCTGGGCCCTGCCTCAGCTCCAAGAAATGCTGTGGGGGTGGAGAGCCAGAAAGGACGTGCTGTTGGGAATGTGCATCTGGGCAGAGGTAGCCCTGTTGGGATCTGACTCTTAGCCAAGGCCAGGGACTGGGTCCCTGGGATCTTCAACCTCACAAACATCAGTCCTGACCCCTAGCAGCAGAGATGAGATTCAAGGGGTTGGTTTGGTATTAAGTCAGATTGGGGGGGGCGGCTCTTTCCTTGTCATGCTGTCCATTTGGGTCACAGACAGGGATTGACCATCTTGCTGTTGTACAGGTAGTTTGGTGGTGTTGGATTATCCCATTGAAGCAGGGACAGCTGTTCCCTTCTCATAGTGATATCTTGGGTTTGTTGTCCTCTAAGAGACGTGAAACATACTTCTTAAGCTGAACCACGTAAACTTGAATTCCGCGCACTGGGAGAAATGTGTCCTGTGTTTCAAGGATAAAACTGTTCCAAAGGCTTCCAGGGTCATGATGGGATTTTTTAAATAAATGCAAAAAATAAAAATAAAAAAGAAAAAAGAAAAAAAGAAAAAAATGCTAGGTTGGGGAGGCGCTGTTCTGAATCCCAACCGGCTGGAACCAAGAATGTCGTTTCTATTTTTATAGAAGTTTTATACAGCTCCTGGGTGGAGAATATTTATTACCTAAATTATATCTCTGGAAAAGGCCAGGATTTTGTAGAATCCAGAATGTGATTGTTGTACACACAGGGTGCTGTGTATGATTGAAACTACTGACTCTCTGTGGCCCGTTTGCAGCCCAGCTAATAATCTGCCAGAGGGGAAGAAGTTAATGCTGTGAATTGGCAGAGGAGAGAGCTGTGCTCCCCAGGGTGCTGCCGGTGCTGCCATAGCTGACCTTCTGTTCCGTCTTCCTCCTTGGCCATCGCGGGGTTTTCCAAAGCCCAGAACTCCACTCCCTTCCTACACTCTCTCCCCTCGCCCTCCTCCCCCATTTCACTATTATTTGTCCTGGGCTCTGGGACCTTATGAAACGCCTTTTCGAATAACATGAAAGGCAAAGGTGCAATCAGCCTGCCTTTGCTAGCAGACCCAGAGGTTCCATATCTGCTTGTGGGGTTCTCTTTTCTAAAAGGGGCGTGTACCACAGCAGGGCCCTGGGCTGCCTTAGCGGCCAGCTGGTGAGACCAGGCACTTATCTCTGCTCTCCTCCCCCTCCCCGGTGAGTGCGCATAGTAGCACTGCCCTTGAGCACAGTTCTCTCCCCAGGCCAAAGATGGTTTGTGAAGAAGCTGCTCCCCTACAAGTCTCATGGTGTGGAAGGGTTCAGCTCGGAGAGTGGAGACTAGCAGTCAAGTCTTAAGCAATCCTTTTCTGTCGTGTGGGGGTTTCACCTAACATAAATGTGTTTTCTGCCTATAGTTTTGTTTCTTACTGGGTTTCATCATGAAATTGATTTGCCTTGAATGCAGCCAGACATTGTCTCCTGGGTCCCACATGAGTGGCCAGGGCCTGTGTGGAAGCTAAGAGCTTGGATTTCTGGAAACACAAGGCCATCCCCATAGAACTGAGGGGAAATCCTGGCCCTCTCCCCTAGAGAGTTCCCCCCACCCCAGCCATTGTCTTCTACTTTCTCCTGGGTTTGAGGAGGAGAGAGGCAGGAGCTCTGTTCCACCAGAGACCTATCTTCTTCTCCCACCACGGACTTGTTTGGGTGCCTCAGGGGAAATCCAAGCCTTAGGTTCCCTTCTGTCTCTGGCACTTGGATGTTTTCTTGGTGTCCTCCATGTCCTTTTTGACTTTTCCCTGTGTCCATTGTTAGCATGTGCAAAAGTTCCTTGTCATTACCCAGCCCCTGCCCCGCCCGCCTCCTCATTTCAGGGCTGTACACAGTGAGTGTTCCTCTTCTCTCTCTCTCTCTCTGTTTGGATGTATTGCTCTGTGTAACTCAGTGGGTCTCCCTCTTTCTGGTTTGTTTTTTTTTCTAGATTCCTGCCGTTTGTTCATCGTTGTGCCTAAAGCATGTCGATGTGGCGTCAAGTACATCGTCCAAATCCCTGTCTCTTCAGCTTCTCTGATGCTTGAACTCTCACCTTTGACCTTGTGTTGACCTTTGATGCTGACGTGTATTTTTATTATGTTTGTTTCTTTCTTTGTTATTTCTTTTTTCTTTTCCTTTTTTTTTTTCTTTTGTGCTGCCAAATTGGTTTTGCTAGAACGACTGCTGAAGGGGAAATATTTAAACTTGCATTTGAATATAAAAAAAATCTATTTTTCTAGAACTTCATAAGATAACCACTTGATTTTGTGATTCCAATTCTTTGTAACTGTCTTCAGAGCAGCCCTACTAGCACATACCGCGTGGTGTTTGTATTTCTGTGAACACACAGCCAGTCCGTTTCTAGGCTTTGTTTCTCTGTGTGCTTAGTTTTAAAGACAACTTTGAAGTAAACAATGAAATAAAAGATGTCACTAAAACCTTTGAGGCTCCTGAGCACATTTTGCTGATAGTTTGTGGGGCTTGAGGAGACTGCATGTGTTCTTTTGTTTTTCTGAGTTCTCAACTGCAGAAAACACCTGAACCCCCTTTCCTTTTTGACCGCAGGCTGCAGTTTTGGGCCCCAGCCAGCCTTTTTTCTTTTTCTTTTGTGGTTCTTCCCTGGAGTGACCCTGCAGGGAGCCTTCAAGTCCCTCTGGCCCCTTCCCCTCAGCCCTGCTGTGCCCACCTCCATGCTTGTTCCTACAGTCTCCACAGCAAAATGTGATGCTTTGATTTTTTGTTTTTGTATTGTTTTGTGTTTTTGTTTTGAATTTTTTCCTTTCCTAATAAGATTATGCCCAGAAAAAACAAGTTTTGCATGTTTCCTGCTGTTTCTTCACACCTTCGTATATATCACCTTCACCTCTCTGTTTTCTATAGTTTGTGCAAAAACTGACCGATTTAAAAGGGTTTCAAAGAAGCTGTTTTAAATTGTTGCGGGGTTGATTATTTTTTTCAAGATTGTATTGTTTTATTTTGAAGTGGCAACTTTCTCCTCTATTGCCCTTAGAGCGTTTGCCTGTGCACTTAGACTGTCACCTCATGTGGCCTCCAGGCCTCAGTGGGGCCAGGGGAGGGGGGAGCCCTCCAGGAGGCTGGCTGCTCTGCTCAGAGATGGGTGGGAAGGGGGGCCTGGAGAGGCACAAGCAGCAGAGGGTAGAACCCAGAAGGTGGCTGCGGGGGTGGGGGTAGGGGGCGGGCAAGAGGTTTTTAGCTCATTAGGGGTAGTGAGCGCCCCTCAGCCCCGGAGAAGGAGGGTGCTCTTAATCGCTCGGAGGAGGCCATCCGTGCACTAAGCGGCAATACACCTGCCCGCGCCTCTCCCTAGGTGACAAGCACAATACTACAGTCTTCACACTGTTTACAGCCCTGGCCACCAACCGCCCCACACTGGCTCTTCACCACAGCTCTGCTCTTGCTTAGCTAGTGGGGGTGGGGGGAGGGTAGGGATTTCTTTTCTTTCTTTTTTAATTGAGTGAAGAGCCAAATAGCTACTGTCCCTGGGTGCCAGGCAAGCCAGTTCCTTGGTTCCCTGAAGGGAACTTGCTCTCCTCTCTTGGGGCACCATCAAGCCTCAGGGTCTTAGGGACTTTTGAGTAAGAATGTGAATGGTGGAGGGAGAGGCCAGAGGAGACAAGAGGTCACGGGATGGATCTGTGGAGGTAAGAGGTTGCAGAGGGAGGAGTTTGTGATGGATTCCACCCAGACCTAAGCTGCTGGTGGGTGGGAGAGCTGGGAAGTAGGATTATCCAGGGAAGGGTGAAGAGGGGGTAGCCGAGGGTACTGGGGAGGGAGGGGGGTGGGGAAGGTAGAAGCACTGTTAGCATCATCCATGCAGGGGTTGATGAAGGAAGGGTTCCTGGCAGAATTTCTGCCCTGGGACCCACAGGTTGCCTAGTATTATGCTGGAGGCCACTCTTACTAGGAAGAGAGGGCGGCCAGATGGAGGCCCAGTGTATGGTAGGTTGCTTAATCTCCTGGAAGGGGTGATTGGGTGGAAGGAGGCCAGGAACCCCAGCCTGAGCAAGACTGCCGTGCACCCCACAGTCTGACTGCACAGAGCCGCCTCTGTTGGCAGAAGGCGCTGAGGCTCCCTTTCCTGTGTATTCAGAATCCGTGTTTGCCAATATATTTTGCTTTCAATTCCAAGAGGAGCTCTGGGAAAACCTGTGGATAAAACCAAATGCCAAACGTTGGACGTTGTTTCCTTTTCCTTTTCTCTCTCTGATTGTTTTAATTGTTCTGTGGTGGTTTTAATGGATTTGAGACCCTGGAGCGGCAGCTGCCTTTCTGATTTCCAGCTGCTTTTTGTGAATAATTTAAAAAGAAAAAAAAAAAAGAAACTTTACATTTTGGAGACAAACCTGTGTGAGTTTTTTATTGGTACAAACGTTGTATTTAACACTAGGGGTTTTGTACAGTTTTTTGCCTTTTCTACTAGAAAACAATGTAAAGTGATTTCACAATGTGAAGAGAAAAAAAATTGCCACTATGACCAAACGCACAGTCTGTTCTGCAGCAACAACGGGATTCAATCAACTCAAAGTCGTGATTCAGCCGTAGAAATGCTTTTCCTTTACCTTGTTTGAGCTTTTCCTTTCTTTCCTGTTTTGATTTGCAAAAGAAAATGTCTTTTTTGTGTGAACTTGTGTTGTACTATGTAGAAAATTATGGATTTTACTTTAATGGTTTAAAAAAAAAAGGCAAGAAGAGCCTTTGTTGCTTTTCTGACTTGATCACAGAGTTTGTGTAGTGGATTAAAAAAGAAAAAATTGTTACAAGTTTGGAGCAAGGGAGTATGTGTTTAAAAGGAATCTCCTTCCTTTTTTGTGTGTTTTTCCTTTTGTCCCAATGGGGAACCTAAATCTGTTTTAATTGCACAGACACACGGACAAAAAGTCATTTTGTATCTGCCAAGTGTGGTACCTTCCTTTGTTTATTTGCTATTAAACTGTTTGAGAAGAACTGATGTTGTCTCCAGAGTTGTTATTGATGGTCGGGGTGGTCAGTAGGGTCCTTGGGGCTGGTGCGGGTTGGTGGCATCCCCGAGGAAGGGGTGGGGATCCTGGTAAGGTTTCAGTTTGGTGTGCCAGTTTCATGAAACTGAACTCACCTTAAGGCTCCTGCAAGAACATAATTTCTCCCAGAAAACTACCTTCCCCATCATTCTCCATTCTTCTAACAACGTCCCTGCTGACACAAGAGCACCTTCAGACTTTTTTGGCAACCTTCATTTTTGTGCTGCTTCCATTTCTAGCATCGTGGCTGCCACACTGCAGAACTGCCAACTTGTGAGTGCACATCCCTTCTCAGGGCCTTTCATGCTCCACCCGCTTTCCCCCTCATCCTGAGCTCAGAACAAGGTCACAGAAGGGCATTTCTAAGATTGCGTTTACTACTCAGTAATTGTACATCAGTCTCCAAGTGAAGCCCAACATCTGAGCCGCCTCAGGCATCCGAGAACTGCAGGCTCAACACTGGGCTGGGAGTCTTAGAGGCTTGCAACCAGCACATGGGCTATGAGGTGGGGTGGGGTGGGCCAGGCCTCAACCTCCTCAGAGTCCCTCTTTGTGGGGTGTGTCTGGAGGAGCATTTCTCAGTGGCCGTTGCACTGAGTACTAGCCCAGGAAATGTTCTATGAAGTAAGATTTCTGAACACAAATCCATTTGTGAATAGTGCTTTCTCATTTGCTTTCATTAAAAATAAGTTTTTTCTTTTTTTTTTTTAAAGATTTATTTATTTATTTGACAGAGACACAGAGAGGGAACACAAGCAAGGGGAGTGGGAGAGGGAGAAGCAGGCTTCCCGCTGAGCAAGGAGCCCAATGTGGGGCTCCATCCCAGGACCCTGGGACCATGACCTGAGGAGCTGAAGGCAGACGCTTAACGACTGAGCCACCCAGGTGCCCCCATTAAAAATAAGTTTAGGGGCACCTGGGTGGCTCAGTCGTTAAGCGTCTGCCTTCAGCTCAGGTCATGATCCCAGGGTCCTGGGATCGAGCCCCACACATCGGGCTCCCCAATCCGCGGGAAGCCCGCTTCTCTCTCTCCCACTCCCCCTGCTTGTGTTCCCTTTCTCGCTGTGTCTCTCTCTGTCAAATAAACAAAATCTTAAAAAAAAAAAAAAAAAAATTGGGCGCCTGGGTGGCTCAGTTGGTTAAGCAACTGCCTTCGGCTCAGGTCATGATCTTGGAGTCCTGGGATCGAGTCCCGCATCGGGCTCCCTGCTCGGCGAGGAGCCTGCTTCTCCCTCTAACCCTCCTACCTCTCATGTTCTCTCTCTCTCTCTCTCTCATTCTCACTCTCTCAAAATAAATATAAATAAATCTTAAAAAAAAAATAAAAAGTTTAGAAGAGGGCGCCTGGGTGGCTCAGTTGGTTACGTGTCTGCCTTTGGCTCAGGTCATGATCCCAGGGTCCTGGGATTGAGCCACGCATTGGGCTCCCTGCTCAGCAGGGGAGTCTGTTTCTCCCTGTCCCTACCCTCACTCATGCTCTCTCTGGCTAGCACTTTCTGTCAAGATCTTAAAAAATATTTTTTAAGTGGAAACTTTGTATTACTTTGTAGTAATTATTCTAGCTAATGTTCATTGTTTACCACAATCCAAGTGCTGTGGGAAACACTTGATACATGTCACATGTTTTAATCTTTATAACATCCCTGGGAGGGAGCTACTGTTCCCATCCCCATTTTGTAGATGAGTAAACTGAGGTTAAGAGAAATTGGGTTGGGGCGCCTGGGTAGTGCAGTCGGTTAAGTGACTCTTGGTTTCAGCTCAGGTTGTGATAGGGTCGTGAGGTCGGGCTCTGCGCTGAGTGTGGAGTCTGCCGGAGATTCTCTCTCCTTCCTCTGCCCCTCCCACTGGTGTGCTTTCTCGCTCGCTTGCTCGCTCTCTTTCTCTCAAATAGTAAAAAATGGGGGGGGATTGTGTTGCCTACTAGAAAGTGGTGTGCGCTGAGAATCAAACCAGGTCTGCCCACCTCCCAGGCCCTTTCTCTTAACCATGACTGAGGAGAATACGCCAGAAAAGCAAATAAATGTGCTTTAGTTAACCTGTGCCTTCTCATCACAGGATTGCACAATGTCCTCTAAGCTCTAGTGAAGGGAATGTGGGGGGCCTACAACTTGTGCGGCTCCCTCAGGTGGTGAAGCACTGAAGCCTGGTCCTCCTTCGAGCAGCTGTCTTGGTGTAGAAGGGATTTACTGATAACTCACTGCACCCAGGTAGGTAGTCAGCATGATCCATGAGGTGTCACTTCCTGTGAGGAATGGGGTGCTTCCTGTGTCATTCCAGCCACTCAGGTCTTTCCTGGATGTGGTACCACCTAAACTATTCTTTACCTATTTTTTTTTCCTTTGTGGCAAAATACATAGAACACAAGATGTTCTTCTTAAACCCCTCATAAGTAGATCATTCAGTGGTATTCAGCACATTTACAGTCTTGTACAATCACCACCACCTGATGTTTTAAATCAACTTGAAATGCACCTATTTCAGCTTCACCTCATTCTGACCATTAATATTTATGAAATCACAAGTTTGGTATTTTGTTTTTAAATGTACATTAATTATATGTGTTTAAATGCACATTAAACTACATAACCAATATATATATATGAAATGCCCATAAGGCGCCTTCTCAAAGAGGTCGTTTTACATGCTGGGAAATGGGGCCAAGATGGGGAGTCAGGGGCTTTGAGGACTCCCTTCCTGACTTGTTTCCTCTGTAAGGACAAGGTGGTTGAACCTGAAGTTCTCTCCCATCCAGCACAGATTCTTCTGTCACTCAGGAAAAAGGTGGCAGATCGGGGCGCCTGGGTGGCTCAGATGGTTAAGCGTCTGCCTTCGGCTCAGGTCATGATCCCAGGGTCCTGGGATCGAGTCCCGCATCGGGCTTCCTGCTCAGCAGGGAGTCTGCTTCTCCCTCTCCCTCTGCCTCTCCCCCTGCTTGTTCTCTCTCTGTCTCTCTCGCAAATGAATAAATAAAATCTTTAAAAAAAAAAGGTGGCAGATCTTGCCTTTAAGTCTCTGCCTTGCGACTCTTATTCTCCTGAGATAGAACTTGGTATAAAAATAGAATGTGAAGTACAACTTACATCTTTCAATGTGACATCGTATTTAGGCTGTTGTTTCTCTTTAAAATTTACCAAAAGAATATGCCCAAAGTACTATTTTTTAACCTTTTAAAAATGTAGGCTTGTGCACCTTTATAATCATACAGCTTTGTCTGGAACTGTTTGTATTCCTTTTTGAAACCCACGTGCAGTCATCTTTTATTTTTGAATAGATTCCTCAGCACCTAGTTGTTGCCACACTCCTGGTTCCTGGCTCACCACAGAGACAGCCCCTGCGTCGGCTTTCCCGGCCAGCACGCGGCTGCCCTGATGCTCCCAGGTCTTCCACACGCCGTGTCCCCTGAGCGCCTCAGTCCCTGATGAAGAAAGGCATGGGGAAGGAAACGAGATCAGGTTTGTGACTTCACCGCTGGGGATGTCACACTACTGTCTGACAGCGTTGCCCTTCCAGGAGGGATCGTAGATGGCTTTTTCTTGCACCTTCTGCCTTTCTCAAGCATCTTCCTTCTCTCTCAGGAGTCCTTTCCAACCCCCACCATCTGGTGTTTAATTTCTTCTGCATACATTGACTTTCTCTTTTCCTGGTAAAGGCTTCAGCTCTAGGGACGGCTCTTGCTTTTTTAAATCAAAGTCAGAGTCTTGGAACAAAGCCAGGGCTTTAGGCCTGCCTGCATCCACACCAACACCCCCCTCCGCCCCTGAGGGGGTCCCACTGTCCCGAGGCCTCCTGAGATTTTGGTGTTTTTAATCGCTACCATTCACCCACATCAAGGGGACAAGTCCTTGGGTTTTAGCGTTGTGCAACCATCACCACAGCCTAATTTTAGAACATTTTCATCACCCTGAAAAGAAACCCCGTACTCATTAGCAGCCACTCCCCTTCTCACCTCCCCCTCATTCCCAGCCCCTGGCAACCACGAATCTTTCTGCTCTACAGATTTGCTTATTCTGGACTATCCTATAAATGCAGTCATAGAATATGTGCCTTTTGTGTCTGGCTTTCACTTAGTCTACCTCCCAAGCCATGTTCTCTCCTCCTTGAAAGCAACGCACAGCCCTAGGCTTGTGCCACCTGCGGCTGCCGTTCCTGGTCCTTCTGAGCGGCCTGCTCGCAGTCTGGCCACATTCCTGCAGCCCCTGTCCCTTCCCCTTCTCCAGTTGCTCCTGTTTACCTGCTGCACCATCCGCCTCACCCTGCATCTGGCTGTCTTCGGGACTTGTCTGCACTGTCCTGTTCGACCAGCCACTAGCCACTGTAGCTGTTTAACTAAGAACTTTCATTCCTCACTTTGCGCCACGAAGCTCCATGTGCCCAGGGGCCACTGTACTGGACAGTGTGGGGCCTAGACCACTTCCATCATGGCAGTCAGTTACAGTGGTCAGGGCCGTTCTAGATCTTAACTCTGCATGTAAGAAGACAAAATAGGGGCGCCTGGGTGGCTCAGTAGGTTAAGCGTCCGACTCTTGATCTCGACTCAGGTCTCGATCTCAGGGTTGTGAGTTCAAGCCCCGCGTTGGAGCTGTCCTTCTCGTCCACCCAGCACCTGGCAGCATAGGAAGGTAGACACTGAGGCACAAAGAAGCTACAATCCTTGTCACATAGCCGTAAGTAGGAGAGTTGGGTTTTTAACCCAGGCCAACCTGATTCTGAAGTCCTGCTGGACTGTATTCCTTTGGGAGCGTCTAAGGTGGGCCCTGGTTTAAATTCCACCTCTAGACTGGAGCTGCATGAAGGCAGGGACTATGCATGTCTTGTTCCTCGCTGGAGCCCCAGGGGCTGGCAGGTAATCAGTATTCAGGAAACATTTAATGAGTAAATGAACAGATACCAAAAAATGATAGTTGCTTTTGTTCAAGAGCTTCCTGACGTGCTTCCCTGCGCCCCCACTACA